TGTGTGTGTGTGTGTGTGTGTGTGTGTGTGTGTGTGTGTGTGTGTGTATGTGTGTGTGTGTGTGTGTGTGGGTGTGTGTGTGGGTGTGTGTGTGTGTTTTCCAGGAGCCTCCCCCCAGTTTGAACCAGCTGGACTCCAGCAGTAACCCGTCATCATCCACCTCCTCCACACCTTCGTCCCCTGCACATTTCCAGCAGAATAACCCAACGAGTGTCAGCGCCACACCCCCGACCAACCCGTCGCCGCAGGGCTCCAGGGACAGTTGCTTCCACTTCCCAGGTCAGCCCCCTGTCCCTAGAATCTCTCACACACACGCCAGCGTGTAAAGTTACACAATGGCTAAAGGTAAAGTCTGTGGCTAAGTGGAGAGCAGGGTCGTCCTTCGATCAAAGGATCGGCGGTTCGATCCCCGGTTCCGGCTCCACTAGTCGCATGTCCTTGAGCAAGACACTTAACCCCAAAATTGCTCCCGTAGCTTTGCTAAATGACTGTAATGTAATGTAAAGTTAGCACAGTTTGGGTGTTAAAATGCACTCATTGTACAGTATCCGGTTAGAGATATTTATGATACTCAGTCTCATTGATATCCATGTGGTGGATCACTTATCATTAGTACAAGGCGTAGTGTGGACGCTCAGTGTAAACGTAGCAAAACATATGCATTTCCAAATGGAAACGGCGTAATGTGGACATGGCTTCAATGGAGAGTGTTGGCCCCGTACACTGAGCCACCAACGCAAAGGATTAAGACTTAATCACTCTGCCGACTGTTTCTGCATTTAACTTTTATTTAACTAGATAGAATCCATTGAGATAAAATCTCTTGTGATCTGGCCAAGAAGGCTGCAAAGTCAAACATCGAGTGCTCAACTTGACACACAACAAAACAAAAATAAAACGGAATAAAAAGTCCACACATCAACAGAAGAGGCCGAGCAGACACAGACACACAAAAAGGTGTGGCAAAAGTGTTGCACATTGTTGTAAGTGGTTAAAACTTCTGATAACATCGTCTGTTATGAATTCATAAAGTAACATGTATTTATACTGTGCACAGTGCAGTATTCTGAAGTTGTCTTTTCCAACAGATGTTCCTGCTTCCACATGTACTGCTGTTCAACATTGTGGCAGCAACAATGAGTCTGGGTAAGGGAAAGCAACATAGGTTCCATATTGGCTGATATTAGCTAATCACATTTCATATACGTCGGCTGATCAGTAACAAGAAATGTCAGCACAGATATGTTTAGGATAAATAAGTTCATTCAGAGACAATGTCTCCAGTCGTGTCCCACAGAGAGCAAGGAGCAGTTTATTTGTACACTGAAATGTCCTACTCAGTATCTCAGTCTCAAATGTGAAGAATCCTTATTGTTGTGCTTCTTGTTGATGTTAAAAAACTAAAATGAGTCTGTATATCCATATCACATTAAGATTTCAATAAAAAACTCTGTAGGCTCGTATGTACAGAGCTTAACATCCCTACCAAGGATGTAGTCGGTTGCTAATTCTTGTGGTTCTTCTCTCAGAGTGTCCCAGCTGGCCCTCACTGAAACACAGCTAATGACAGCGGAGCAAGGAGGGGTGAGTCCTGGCAGTCGTTTCAGTTCGTCTTTTTGGTTGCCAAAGGAAGTGTCACCGTATGAGAGCAGAGCAGAGCGGCGGCCGTGAGCTAACTAGTGGGGCACGCTCACATGTACTAACATGGCCCTCCTTACCATAATAACAGCACCTGAGGGGCAACAGCCTCTGTGAAGAGGACCTGCTCCCTATGGAGATATAAACGTTCATTCTTAGATAACAAAAACACCATTCTTAGTTTATACATTAAAAAACATAGTTGAATATTGTATTCTACTAAAATGTATTTAAAAATGTAGTAAATGAACAATAACACCAAAGAATTCTGGTAGTTGACTCAGTATCCTGTTCCATGTTCACTTCTCTAGTTCATGTGTTTCAGGAGGAGGACTACCCAGCAGAGGATGAGGAGGCAGCTGAGCAGTGCACCAGAGAACAGAGCCTTTCCACTGACGTGTGTGATGAGGACGGGCTGGAGGACCTGCCTGCTTCCATACGCCGTCGGGGGGCCGTCGGACGCTGGAGGGGCCCCATGCGCCGTAAGGCCAGCCAGACCAGCGTCTACCTGCAGGAGTGGGACATCCCATATGAGCAGCTGCAGCTGGGAGAGCTGATTGGCAAGGTGAAGACAGACGTGTATTATAGACACACTCAATCTTAGAATACAACATACAATAGCATCATCTGACACAATGGATTCTGTGACGGTCCAGGGGCGCTGGGGGAAGGTGCATAAGGGCCGCTGGCACGGTGAGGTGGCCATTCGCCTACTGGAGATTGACGGCAACAACCAGGACCACCTGAAGCTCTTCAAGAAGGAGGTGATGAACTACAGGCAGACCAGGCACGAGAACGTTATTCTGTTCATGGGCGCCTGCTTGGCCCCGCCACACCTCGCCATCATCACCAGGTACAGCTGCATGACTCGTCAGGTCTCAGTTCTGCTCTTCCCTCTTTTCCAGCACACTTGCAGTATATAAACTACCGGTATGGTGATACTTTTACATGTGATATGTGGTTTTGCTGTGTATATTTGTTGATGTTGAATTTGGTTTTAGTTCCAATGTGGCATGTGTTTTCTCTGCAGTTTCTGTAAAGGTGTGACTTTGTACTCTGTTGTAAGAGAAAGAGGTCACATGCTCGACATCAATAAAATCAGACAGATTGCACAGGACATTGTAAAGGTAAGCAACCCGTGATCCGTGTGAGATTGAATGAGTAAAAAAAGCTGAACTCAATCATTTCAATACCAATATATGATCATTTCTGATAATCCAATTCAATCAGATGATATACAGTGGCTTGTAAAAGGATCCAACCCTTTCAAAAGTAATCAGATTACACTGAAAATGTAATGTTTGCATTCACCCATGCTCTGGAAGCTCCAAGTTGACACAGATGAGAAAATAATGCTTAATTACTTAAATATATATGTATTAATTATTACTTATTAGTATCACTGGTCAGACTGTGAATCTGAGAGAACATGTGAAAATGAAGACCAATGTTAGAAGAAGAAAGTTAGAGATGAATAGTTTGAATTCACTCATCTTCCACTCTTATACAGGGAATGGGTTATCTGCATGCCAAAAGCATCATTCACAAGGATCTGAAGTCTAACAACGTGTTCTATGACACAAACAAGGTGGTCATCACAGACTTTGGCCTGTTTGGGATGGCTGGAGTGGTACAGGAAGGCAGGTAGGAGTGAAGTCTATCTATCTAAATGATCTGTACCTCCTCTGGTAAGCCACGGTTACTGTCTTCATTCGTGTGTGTGTGTGTGTGTGTGTGTGTGTGTGTGTGTGTGTGTGTGTGTTTAGAAGGAAGAACATGTTGCGGATACCTCGGGGCTGGATCGACTACCTGGCTCCAGAGATTGTTCGAAAAATGAGTCCAGAGGTGGATGAGGACCAGCTGCCTTTCTCCAAAGCTGCTGACGTTTATGCATTTGGGTATTGATTGATTGATTCGAATTAAACAGCCTCCTCAGGTTTATCAGTAGCACTAATTGTATGCTATATTCTAAAGTTAATTTGACGTTTAAACTAATGTTTTTCATTAACAAAGAGAGTATCTTTTGCTGCACTTACATGTTCTTTGGTGCTCAGTCATTTCCTCAGTTAGTCTGTTGATCTTTGAATCCCTCAAACTTCTTTTTGTGTTACCTTACAAGTTCCAACATTTTCTTCATACATCAGACTGTGGCATACTTGCTAGGTGGTTTCACTGTCACCAGGTTTTTCCTGATCATATTTTTCCGATGTGTCCTTTTTTAGCACAATCTGGTATGAGCTGCAGGTCGGAGACTGGCCAATGACCAACCTGCCTGCGGAGACTAAAATCTGGCTAGTGGGCAGCAATGTGGGCATTAAGAAGGTGCTGGCAGAAGCCAACCTGGGCAAGGAGGTGACGGTGAGTCTGTCACATAGAACGTAGAAGGACAATCCTAATTTGATCAGAGGGAAGCGGTCTGTGTGGAGCTGAGATGGGACCAGCAGGAGTGTGAGAGGCAGACACACTTGTCTGTTAGCATTAATGTCTGCTTAATAAAACAATGATACCACGTTAGACAGGAACCCTTTTAGTGAAATGAAAACAACAGCAATCCTACTTCCATCTCAACAGGAGATCCTGTCCGCCTGCTGGTCCTCTGAAGCCGATAACAGGCCCACCTTCACTCCGCTGGCAGGCATGCTGGAGAGGCTGCCTAAACTCAACCGCAGGCTGTCTCACCCCGGACACTTCTGGAAGACAACTGAGTAGGTACCATAGGAAGAGAAGGCATATTCATGATCCAGGGTGGACCAGCCGACAACATCATTTACACCAGCATTCAAGAAGGGAGTCTTCACCATTTAATTTAGTCGTCATCATCATCATTTTAATGTCATGTAAGCAGAAATGAGATGCAATACACCATCAATCAAATGGAAAATGTTGTAAATAAGATTTTGTAAAGAAATGTGAACATTTTGAAGCTGTCCTGCTGAGTATCAACTAATATAAACGACCTTTTCTAACGTGACTGCTCTGTTGTATTTTGAGGAAAGTTCGAGTAAGACTCGACAACATTTTGCTGTGCCTATGGATGGAGTTGTTGCTCCTTTATGCTTCCTTCATCTTGTTTTCCAGACACTTAATAATGTTTGTCACAGTCAGCAGTATTTCGTCTCTTCACCTCTCCTTCTTTCTCCTGTCTCTGTGATTTCCTCTCCTCCGGGTGCCGACTGATCCCCTGATCCACCTCTGCCTGTTCCTGTTGTGTCTGATCTCCACGGTCTGCCTTCCATCCCACATTGTCCCCTCTGTCCGTGCCTCTGATTCCCTGTCTTTTTATCTTCTCACTTGTTTTCCACCACTCCCTATTTCTGTCTCCTCACTCCGTTCTTCTCCTGTTAAAGGCTGTGGGATCATCAACGTCGTCATCACTGCCTGAGAGATCTCTGCCATCAGCGTCTGCATGCACACTGTCCATACATGTACAAATACAGCAGCTGAGAGGCCAAGGTGCCTCATAAAACTGAAACTTAATATTGGCTTGAGGAAATATTGACAATATCAACTAAATATCTTCTTTGAAATTAAATATCATTTCAATTTCAAAGAGGATTTTTCAGAGCTCTTATCTAGGGCGACATATCCTTCCCATTTCACCTGATGTTTAGGCCTGTCACAATAGCTACTTTTGTTGTCCCAGATATAGAGCGCAGGGATGACCTACTTTTGTAGCCAACAGGAAGTTAGCATCGTACTGGTTCCCTCCACAAAAATTCAAACAGATGTTTCCATTGGATTTAGGATTATGGAGACTTGTGATCTGTATCTTTATTGATTTTGTGTTCTTGATTCTGAATACAGAGTCACATCTGATGAATTCTCAGTAACACAAGTTCTGTATGCAGAGCTTGTGGACTGTGACGGGTGTGTCAGGTCAACTGAGAGGATGTAGGATCCTGTTAAGCACTAAGACAAGCAAGGGGTCATGTGACAGAGGAATAGAGGTGAGACATCCGTAGGCTACTTCTCTGTTCTTTCTACGAACTCTAATGACACTTTTCATGATATGAAAATCACATTAGCTGCTATTGAAACAACATATCTTTTGTCTTTGTCTCTACTCTGTTTTTACATTTCAAGCTTTTTGTATGTGTGCAAACTGGTTTCTCCTATGTTCTAACTGCTTTCCATAAATGACAATCTGTATATCTATCTGCATGTGAGTGGACACTGTTTCATCCTCGGTGCAGGAAGGCTGCTGGTTTCAGCTTTTATGGGAACTAGTTCCTATGAAAACTGTTGATTTGGAAGTCTGTGGATGATACAGAGTGACCACGATACCTTTGCTATAAATTCAAATTGCTGTTAAATTTGTAGCCACACTAAATACAACACGCCCCAGGAATGGCAGTGTTATGTGGTCGTTCAGTCCACTGTGATCCATACTGAAATATCTCGGCAACAACGATATCATTTATGGCTCACAGATGATGAATTGTATAACTTTGATGATTGTTTGACTTTTCATCGAGTCAAAAGCCATTTTTTCCAGTACTTTGCTTTATGACCAAATACCTGCAAAACCAATGATGTTCCCGTCAGCAAATGTTAGCATGCTAACTAAGATGGAGAATATGCAACATACTGGCTAAACAATAGCGCGGTGTGAGCATGTAGCATCGTAACATTAGCATTGAGTAAAAGCACCACTCGGTACAGCCTCACAGAGCTTCCAGCATGGTTTCGACTTGGTTTGTACACTGTAGTGTTCAATGTTGTGAGCATCACAAAAGAATTGGCCAGTTACATCCATGGTATCGTGGTACATCTCTGAGACTGAGGTCTCCAAACCTGGACCAGTAAAAACCAATATCTGCATTTCCTTTGCATGAAGCAGCCCTTTAGATGCAGACAGTTATGATGAGCTGGACCTAAAGGACTGTAGGTTCAGCCCAGTCCCCAGGGAAACATTGTCACATCGTCTGCAAACCACAGATACGTTGAATGTGGACGTTTTGTGCATTTGGTAAGAGCAAGTGAGGTAAATATCATTAATGGATCAAATAGCAAACCGATGAGAGATAACTGCCACACTGAGATTTCATGAGAGCTATTTGTTCAGTTTCACTTTGGATAACAATAACGCGAGGATAATACTAGAAATAATATAACGAAACTTATATTGCAACAAGTATGTGTCTTTCCTTTGTACAATCCAACACCGCATCATGTTTGTGAACCTTGTGTGTGTGTGTGTGTGTGTGTGTGTGGTTTTCCTCGGGCAGGAGTACAATGTACGCTCTGTGAATGTGTTGGGCTTCACCAGCATGATCATGAACATGATCTTATGTATATAGAGTGCTGGGGGTTGTATTTAATATACAGTGTTTGCACAAGGGTTTTTAAGTTTAGATCATTTGAATTGGTACTTTAGTCCCATTGATGTATAGATAAATGTGTAAACTGTGGTTGTGCTTTTTTGTTTTTTTTTACGGTTGAGGTCTAATTTGAGTATTTTTGTACAGGCTGTGTTGATACTTTGTGTGCCTCTGGTCTGAACAATTGAAGATATTAAAGCTGATCTCCAGTGAGTCTGTGTGCTTGTTTTCTTACAGAGTCAATGGCATGATAATACAACCTAAATGTGCAGTCCATGTTGATACGCTGTTATAATATACAACATACTTATACAAGCAGGTAGTAAAGAACACTTGTACCAAGGTCAGATCTAGTCCAAAAAAAGACCAAGTCTACATGAGATTGTGACTGAGATAAGACAAAGACACAAATTACATTCAGTACATTTTACACCAAAATGGAAAATAAAAGCATCAGTTTAGTTGTTACTCTAAGCATAGATTATTTAATTCTGTTGCACCAAAACTTTAAAATCCATTTTATATTGGCTGTATTTAATATTCTGACAATATATCAACATTTATAATCTATGCAAAGGGTAGTAATGTCTACTGATGTCCCTCCGTGTGTTATCAGAGCTTCTCTCCTCTTTCTTCACATAGTGCCTTTTAGTGCCCGTTAGTGCATGTGAGTGTGCCCCCTGGTTAGCTGATGATGGCGTTGTTGTGGAAGCGTAGCGCCGACCCTTGTGTTAACACGGTTAGCTCTGTCTTCACTTTCGTCGTAGTTGCACTGTTAGCACTATTAGCACCGTTAGTAAGCAGCCGGCTCACCGTCAACATGTTGAGAACCGTTGAGAGGCAATCAAAATGCTCCCAGTCTCGGATCTTGCACCTTTAAACTGTGATCCTGTATTAACTTTGAATTTGCACTTGAGGAGGTTCATCTTGTAAAATGGCTGTCTTTTAGAGATGGATTGAGCCGAATGATGAAGTTCTTCATAGAAAGTTTAGGGACAGACTCAATCAGTTGAGTTTTGTAATGCTGCTGCTAATTTTCTCTCAAGATACGGATTCAGCAAGGACACTGTTATGGAGCTGAACAGGAGGACTGGACCAACACGCAGTCTCTTTTCTCCTTTGTTAGGACACTTAACTGCTATAGATAAGAAGGTCTTACAAACTTCAAACCCTTCTCTTTTACTGGTGAATGTACAACACACCATCCACGACATATCTGCAGTCATGTTGCCGTTATCTGTGACCTCAAGGTAACCCAGCTAAATTGCTCCTGTGAGGCATGTGACTAGTCATTCATAGACTTCTCTAATAAAACCTTTACCTGCGTTTTGTTTGGGGACTGAGGAGGGATTTTCTTGATCACTAACCACATGTCAAGCTATGTTATGGTGTCAAAATTGCTCTTTTGCAAATTAAAGTACTGCATTTTAAATTGAAATACACATGTCTGCTCTGATAACAACACACAGAGAGAGAGACTTCAGTCTCTGCTCAGGTAGACATTACTCCTCTAAATGATAAGATATTAATGTTCAGAATGCTAAATACAGCTACTTTATTTATTTGTCTTTTTTATTTATGCATTTTGTTGTTTTTGCTTTCTAATTACTTCCTTTAAAGTTGTAACTGTTACTCTTATCATCCAAAAGTTTTGAATACTTAAGCCCTTTTATTAAATTCACGACAGAGTTAACAGGAAACAATAGACGTCACTTTGGTTGTAACTAAAGTCCATACTGAAGTAGATCATCTCTCACAGTCTCTTCACTTCCTGTTTCTCCCATGCTGTGGTTTCCTGGCCAGGAAACGTTGTACAAACTGACTTTAGACTTCAGGTCAATATCTCGCCTACAGTGTAGTCAGTGTGAGTGTATAACAGCTTCAAACATCACATACATGCACTGTGGGTTCTTCACACACAAATCAAACGCTTTTCTTGACAGGAGGTAGGAGGGCTTCTGTCGTGGCAATTTTGTAATCCCACTCTGACAACGAGTACAAGACAACAGTCTCTTCCAGTATTGTCACTCTTTTAATGCTCAGAGCATTAGAGGTACACAGGACAAGCGTTAGGTGCAAATGTGCAGCCCTCGTAGTACCTCGGCTTGGTGTCCCCCCTCTGGTTGCCTCTTTTAGTGAGTAACTTGCATGTCTTTGTTAAAAAGGAAAAGGGTTGATCAGCCTTCTGATCATCTTCTGATGACATCCAGGTGGGGAAAAAAGTCCTTAGTTTAAGTAAACCGATACAATGTAAGGAAAAGCAGTCGTGTAAGACTGAAATCCTGTGTTGATCAAGTATGACCACTAGTTGGCACTGTTTACGGGGTTTGATGTGATGGGGAGGAGGTGACGGGAGTAGGAGAGTAGCGAGAGACGGTGATCTGACTTGGTGCGGTTCCGTGGAAGCTTGACTAAAGTTATGAGAAAAACCCAAAACGTGTTGGACTGATTAATTCCTTTATCATACACCCACGACGCTTACAGTAGTTATGGAAAGACACAAATATAGCATTATGACTTCCACCTACCTCTAAATAAAATGAATAGGCTACTTACACTTCAGCAAAGGCTCTCACAGCTTCTTCCACCACTGAAGTTTGGGATTAAGCACTACGGGACATACAAGATACACAAGGCATGCAAAAATATTAGCATGGTCCTTTCAAAGATTGAAATGCATCTGGGAGGGATTCAGCTGTGGGCTGCTGGGACTGGCAGCTGTTTGAGTTAAACAAGAAGCAGCATACGGAAAAACTGAGAGTGATCTTTTCCCAAAATAAAACAATTGTTTGCTGACTGAGGATCAGCTAATGTTTGGATATATAGAAGAAGAATACAGAGACACACTCATGGCTAGAACAGCTGTTTCTGTGCAATCACTCACTCATATGCTTTCTGTCCTTCCTCTGCTCTGTAGGCTGGTGATTAGAGGGCCGTTTAAATAACGCCCACTGTAGAGAATCGAAACCTATCTGTGGAATAAAGGCACACATTGTAAAAATCTCCCATTTTGCGTCAGATTTCGCAGCACGCTCCCTGCAGCTCAGCAAACCTGCGCAACTCTATTTCGGACAATGGCTTTTAATCAGCAGACACCTTTTTATAACCCAGTAAGTGATTCACACTTTATTTTTCTGAGAAACGCTGTGATGATGAGTGAAGGCTGGTCCTGCTCGTACCTCAGATCCGTCATGGTAGCGGTCTACCGATCGGCAGTTCAACGCAGGACTAGAAAGACCTGCAGGAGCCTGCGCATCAACAACACCGGTTCTTACATTCTATACATAATTCATAATATATACAGAATTAAACGAATTCAACTTCATATTGCGTCTGTACTCGTTTACAACATTGTATTGGTCATATTTCCATAATGCGAGTTGGCGAGCAGTGTTTGTAGTGTTGGAGTACATAAAGCGTGACGGAGCGCTGCTTCCTCTGTCTGCATTCAGCTGTAACGGACCTTTAGTTCCGTGTTCTCAGAGAAGGAAACATGCTCAGCTTTCTGTTGCGTTCATGTGAAATCAGACAGAAACTAGACGCTCAAATTAGGTGAGGCCTTGCTCCTTGCCATCCGACCATCGGGTGTTAACTCAAACCGGAGAAAGTTTTTAAAGTTTGCAACAGAATATGAAGAGAAAACTTGCATTTTAAAGTTACACGCAGCACTAGAATGATTGCATAAAATAGTGGTCACGAACTGTTTGTATTTGATGTATTTTATTCCCTCACCATAGCGGACACAATTCACCGTTATGGCTTCAGTGTCGTGAGAGTGGCAGAACGTGCTCTGTATGATCAAACACCAAATGAAGATCACACTTTATTGGTCCCGAGACCTACTGTACACCTACTGGAGCAGCCAGCAGTCTGTTTATTAGACACACGATCGCAAAGTGTTATACATGAATAAACCCGCACGTTATCAATCATTCAATGAACATCATTATTTATTTATCGGGAACTTACATCGATACATAAAACAAAAATAGTTTGTCTCACTGATGAGAGGAAATGAGGAAATGAAAAGCATATGAACTTGAAATGCTTTAAAGCATTTATTCGCTCTCATTTTAGAGTATTTAACGTGTGTATATATTTTCAGTACACGAAGTCGCATTACCGCCTTAACTTTGGCAAAATTAATTGACACAGGAGCCCAAAGAGACAAACAGGAGAATCATGAAACTAATAAAGATTCAAGAAATCCTGTATAAAGTATAAAGGCGATCAAAACACATAATAATAAATGTTAAGTCACTTTGGGGAACTTTTAACTATTGTCGGAAAAAATAGAATGGCAGCCTAAATACAGGCTTTAGGTAATGGCCGTGAGACGGAGCTGAGGCGGTGCAGACATCTGCAGAATGAAACGGATCTAATGTGAGAGAAGTGTGAATGAAAAACACAGGTGATACACATGCAGTCCAGACAGAGGGTTAGACAAATGTGAGTATTCATTCAGTCAAACATTACATCCGTGGTCGTCGCAGACACTCCTGGTGGAGATAGAGCACCTCTAGTTTTAAATGAAAGTCTGTGTTTGTACATGTGCTCCTAAACAAGAACATAGGTCATTGAATTTAGGCTCAGCTACAGTAAGAAGCAACCCAATCTACCATTTAAAGTACAGTGATGGACTAAAACACACAAGCTGGATTTAGTTTCTCCAATAGTCAATTTAATTTATATAGCCCAATATCACAAGTCACAAATGCGCCTTAAGGGTGTTTCTACCAGCAATAAGAAGTATACTAGCAGTTAGAGTGAGACGCAGCTGTTGACCTGTTTAGTCCTGTCCTTGTAGAGAATCCCCTTCTCTGGATCGATCCATGGGGGTCTGCAGGAGGGGACGTCCATCAGCATCAGTGGACGAGTCCTGCCTGGAGCCGATAGGTCAGACTGCTCTTTTCATCCCTGGATCTCTCTGCTGTTAACATTTTATAAAAGTGCTTATATTGATAGTAACTACATTTCATTCTATCTTAGTTTTAGATGTGTATTTGTCATTAGGACACATTATGCTGAGTGAATTCCATTCATCTGTGCCTCGCCTCAATTGAGGCTTTTTTTGTTTATTGTTTTGCCTTTGGTATTTGTTTTATTTTCTTGTGATTTTATGACGGATGTATGTTAAGACATGGTAAAGGTTCCCTGTTGAACCATGTCAACATTCAGTGTTTCTACTGAAACACAGGGTGTGCATCTTTGAGGCATAATAAACAAGTGGAACATTAGAAAAGCTGTTGACAAGACAACCTAAACTCATTAACTCGTGTGTTCTGGAGCTTTTGAATGTTTCACATGGTCTTCATCAGCTCATGGTGTTTGCTCAGTTGCACATATTTTTTGCACATACGTGTGCTTTCATTATGTAGACCATGGGATCTACTCTTTAACACACTAACACACACTCCATAGCGCCATTAATGGTCAAAACCTCCACAGGGCACATTTAGATTGTTTATTATTTGGGCAGCTCGCAACGTAAAAAAACCAAAATGAAAGCCATATTTATACACAATTATAAAAATATAAGAAATGGCAGTTTGTTGTAGACCATTAAATGATGACTTTGATTTTTCTCCAGGTTCCATGTGAATCTACAGTGTGGTTCCAGGACCAATGCGAACATTGCACTCCACATTAACCCCCGGTATGACAGCCACCCTGGTTATGTGGTCATCAACACCTCACAGAATGACAGCTGGGGCATTGAAGAGAGGAAGCTTAACTCACCGTTTCCTGCTGGCTCTACCTTCAGCCTCAGCATCACTGTCTCCCGTGATTCCTACCAGGTCTGACTATCTGAAAATGAGCTACTTCGTTTGGTACACAATTCTAGAAGTTTAATCCTGGCAGATCCTCTTTCACAACATTTACAAATCATATGTCTCTTTGGTGATTGCAAAACAAGTCATTTTGAAGAACACAAATTATAGTTTGTACAGAGCTTATCATGCAAAGAATAATTAAAACCTCTTAAGTTTGACCTCGCTCAAGTTTGCCTGCACTCTCGCTCAACCTGAGAGTTTTACAATGAGCCATGATTTTGGCCAATCAGAGAATTGGAGTGGTTATTTGGGATTGCCCCTCCCATCTGGCAGGAGGCTGAGGTCCATCAGGACCAAGACCTCACGCCACAAAAACAGCTTCTTTCCATCCGCAGTTGGGCTCATTAACAGAGCCCGGGACCCCCGCTGACTCTGTCATCCCCAGGACAAATTCCCACCGGTCACTCCCCTGCATCCCTTCTATTACACACTACACTTACATCTCACTTGTTTATAGTCCTGTCATCTGTTCATTGTTTATAGTCCTGTTATCTGTTCGTTTGTGCACTTTATTTTGGATTTCACTTTATTTAATATTTCATCTTTATTTTATATTAATTTATTTTATATCTCACTTTATTTTATATCTCTCTGTAAATTGTAATGTGTTTCTACTTGCACTGATTATTAAATGTTTGCACCTCCCGTCACGCCAAATTCCTTGTATGTTCAACATACCATGGCAATAAACGGTTCTGATTCTGATTCTGAGTAGGAAAGTGGGGAGGAAGTCAGAAGATGGTAGATTGATGGAGTACAAAAATAGATTTTAACACAGTTAAAACACAGTTGTTGGGTTTTTAAAAGGATATTATTTACATTTTCACAAATTAAATTCCATATTTTTTCTCCAGCTGAACATCAATGGCTGCCACTTCATGGAGTACAGACACCGTATCCCATTTCACCAGGTGGACACCATCGCAGTAGCTGGGAAAGTCGAAATTTCCTCCATTGCCTTCCAGAACTCTATGGTGAGGATGCTACCGGAAATAAGTATGGCATTCATTGTGTTTTCATGTACTTTAAGTAAATGCTCTAGTTGCAAAAAATACCAAACCTATTACATGATTCATAGAAGGATGATTCAAGTGTTTTCCTTCTGTGTTAAGTTTCCTGGACAGCCGGCATTTCCCGCTCAGCCTGTGTTTGCTTCACACGTTGCCTTTCCCACCAATGCTGCCTTCCCTTCTTTTCCGGTGGTTCCACCGCAGCATGGATTCCCCTCACACCCTGGATTCCCGTCCCAGCCTGGATTCCCGTCCCAGCCTGGATACCCGTCCCAGCCTGGATACCCGTCCCAGCCTGGATTCCCCTCGCAGCCTGGATTTCCTCCTGCAATGCCTGTGAGTATCAGGCAGAGTGGAGTTACAGTTCTACAGGGATTTTACAGAGCTGCTCTGGGGCAGCACAAACTTCACTGGTTAAGTTAAAGGGTCAGTTTGCACAAATTGCTCGAAAAACAAACATATGTTCCACTTAATTCTAAATCGGCCGCCATAGAGAGGGGGGGAGACGTAATTATGCTTAAATATGGGGATAACAACACACATTCAGGCGGTCTTCAGTCTCTCCTGAAGGCATTCGTAGCGTTGCACTCAGTAGTTTACATGAAAAGTGACAGAAATAGAATACAAAAGAGAGCTATAGAGATTTAAACCCTGGCACCTCCTGTCTCATCTCCACACAGCAGACCAAGCATAGTGTGAAGTGGGTGTAAATCTGGGAATGCCGGTTTCAGAAAGTTGCAATAATTGTCAGACAGTCCCCCCAATCCAACGTTGGAAAGGTGTGAGAAGAGGAACTTTCTGAAGCTATTTGACTGTTCGACCAGCAGCGTATTGGTAGTTTAACACCCCCCCCTCATAAGAAGGACGCCTTATGTTGTGGAATATTTCTTATGACTAGTCGGGAGAAGAAAGTGAAGGTTTTCTATCAATATAAAGTAAACAGAGTTTTGATGAACGATCAAGGTTTGTAAAGTCAATTTATTTGCTTGCAAGCAAAGAGAACAGTCTCACAGACACATTGCAGTGATCTGTAAGAGTGGTCTACCTAACAGTCACAATGCATGGACATTTATGCTCAGACAGATTCCTGTTATCTGCTTAGCTAACAAGAATACACAAAGAACACAATAAAAGGCAGGTCATCCTTTAAGCCTTAGTATACTTCATTTAAGACAGTCAGGAAGATGCTTTATCTCCTGTTTGCAAATCCCTTTGTTCACAGTTTGCCTTACAATAAACCGTTTAAAACTCACAGCAGATGCTTCCTTTGAAGCCACTGTGACATTGTTAAAATGACCATTGCAGAGACAGAATAGACATTCTTTACCCTCACACATGATATATGCATGCAAAGGTTTACGCCTTTACAACTTCAGATAATGCGTCACAAAGGAAGTCAAAAGTATTTCAAACAGAGGATCTCTGTTAGTCAAGGCCTCTCTGTGTCTCTGTCTTACGAAGAACAAAGAAACAGTGCACAAGATAACAGATAACAAGACACCTGGATACTAAACTAATTAAAGTCATCTACTGAAACTACAGTTTGGTGTCTGCTCTTTTAGGACTTACATTCTTTAAACCTTCACATGAGACTATGACATATTTTCCCATTACACTTACAACAAACTAGGCAGCGAGTTCATTCAAGAATAAACTTATATTATACAGTATAGTATCACATTCTGGAGAGGGAGTTAGCAGATTGTGTTTCACTCCAGGTTGCATTCATGCAGAAGCAAACTCAGAAACATTAGACAATGGTTTGAGGTGAACATGATTTTCAGAAATACCATAGGTTGGGGTGAGTATCGACCACAACAGGTAAGCTAGAAGAAACAGAGAAGGATCAAGGGCCCATGAAGACAAGCACATCTGCGTCAATAGTTGATGATTGAAACAAACTGAGAAACAGGAAACTACATTGGGCATAACACTTCCTGTTCTGTAACAGATCGTGGATAACGAAAGCAACTGCTGCTGCACTGCTCTCTACAGATTTAAACTTTGAAGCGTGGTGTTTCCTGGCAGCACCCTGTTCAAATCTGCTGCAGTTGTATCATCTTTGATTTATAATTTTACTATACTCTTCATTAATTTAACTAGTGTAAAACAATAATCAATATTTGTATAATTAATTTTCCCATTCTGTCTTTATACAGGCTGTTCCATATAGGAGCCCCATCAGTGGTGGACTTAAACCTGGCAGGACCATCACCATCCAGGGGAATGTTCTCCCCAATGCCACAAGGTCTGACTCCCTTATTCATGGTTACTAGATTTCACTTTGAAAAAAAACATTGTACAATTGAAACAACATCACACTACACCTTATGACTGAGTACGAACGAGTGGTCAAGAAAAAGAAGAATAAAGTCAAACCCAGTTGCTGGCTAAAGATTCTGAATCTGTGCCAAGACTTTGCATCTGCACCTTAACTCACCATCCGTGCCTTGACCATACTGTGCCTAGATTTAGCCGAGACTCTACATCTGTGCCTAGACTATATCTGTGTCTAGACCCTATGTCTGTGCCTAGACTCTATATCTGTGTCTAGACCCTACATCTGTGCCTAGACTCTACATCCGTGCCTAGACCATACGTATGTGCCTGGATTTAGCCGAGACTCTACATCTGTGCCTAGACTGTACCTAGACTCTACATCTGTGCCTAGACTGTACCTAGACTCTACATCTGTGCCTAGACTCTACATCTGTGCCTAGACCATACGTCTGTGTCTAGACCATACATCTGTGCCTAGACTCTACATCTGTGTCTAGACCATACGTCTGTGCCCAGACTCTACATCTGTGCCTAGACTCTACATCTGTGTCTAGACCATACGTCTGTGCCCAGACTCTACATCTGTGTCTAGACCATACGTCTGTGTCTAGACCATACGTCTGTGCCTAGACTCTACATCTGTGTCTAGACCATACGTCTGTGCCCAGACTCTACATCTGTGTCTAGACTCTACATCTGTGTCTAGACCCTACATCTGTGTCTAAACCCTACATCTGTGTCTAGACCATACGTCTGTGCCTAGACTCTACATCTGTGTCTAGACCATACGTCTGTGCCTAGACTCCACATATGTGCTTAGACTGTACCTAGACCCTACGTCTGTGCCTAGACTCCACATATGTGCTTAGACTGTACCTAGACTCTATATCTGTGCCTAGACTCCACATATGTGCTTAGACTGTACCTAGACAGCAGTTCCCCTTTGAAGACTAAGAAAGCATTCATGCAGGAGGCCCAGTATCATGTATTACTCACTCTTTCCTGTTTCCTCTCAGATTCACTGTGAATCTGAGCCATCGCTCTGGCACCGCTCTGCATTACAATCCACGTTTCAATGAGAACACTGTGGTTCGAAACACCAAACAGGGGGAGCAGTGGGGCGCTGAGGAGCGTGGCGGAGTGATGCCCTTCCACCGGGGAAAGCCTTTCACGGTACCACTGCAAATACTTCACTGATTGCACACACTGACCAGGTGGTAGAACACGCATCTAGTACAGTGGATTCCGAGAGCAGTTTGTATACATCATTGCATCTCCGTTACTTGAGCTAAGTGGATAGTTAAACTAGCTCTCAAAAGGTCATTGTGCAGGGATACAGAGCTTTCCTTCACTTTGATGGACTCCACCATTTAGAAATCTGACCTTAGTGTCATTAGTTCCTCTGGATGAATGTCATTGTGATGCACAAAAGAGGGAATCCTAGATAGTGACATGTGAGTTTGGGCTGGTCAGAGCATACAGTACAGGCATCATTTGATTGATTTATACAACACTGCTCTTCCTACTCAAGACTTAAAAAAAACATTGCCAAAAATGTCTTTTGAAGTGGATTCAGAACAAGTCTCCGACTCTCAGGTGCAACTGGAATAAGGAAGCTTCAGGCCTTCGGCATAAGGTTGTCACACAGGGGACATGCACATGTTATATGTCGAGGGTTTTTATTGTGACGGGTAAGGATGGTAGGAGTGGATCTGGGGGCTATTTCACAAAAGCACAATGAAGAAATTTGAATTTGTCTGTAAGCATGTCTGTAACATAATGTTTTAATCATTGTTATTTCTCTCAAGCTCAGAGCAGACAGGTGATCCCAGTCAAAGAAAAGGGTGAAAGAGATTGTGGTGTCCTCTCCCTGTTGTCTCATGAATGTATAGTACACTATGTAGACCAGTAATCGTACTATGAACCGGGTCTTTGCAACTTGATCAGCTATTTCTAATCATCATCTAAACAACTGCAATAATATTCATCAAACCTCTGACAACAACATATACAATATAACCCCAAACACAATATAACAGTAACATTGTCACATGAATAATAGTAAGATAGTAATGCTCACAATGTTAAAATAATAACAGTGACAATAAGTACCTGCGGTATTTTAGACAAATGCATACATAAGAGCATGGAATAAGGAATAATCGTTGTGACTAAACAGATAAAGCACAAGTTGATGCCATTATTTGCGGTGCTAAAGTTGAAGCTAAATTAAAGTTGTTCTGAAAAAGATGTTGCTTCTGTGGAAGTACTGACGACAAAAACAACAGTTCAAAAGAATATATTGACGTGGGAATCATTCACACTATGTAAAGGCCTTCATATGTTTACAGGACAGATCTTTCTTTGTTCACCTGACTGCATTATGGAACAGATTTTCCTAATTCTACCATCTTGCAAGAAGACTACATCATTTATAGTCCTGCCTATCAATACTCCAAGTTTCAGAAGGATAGATCACTTTCTTTTGTGGTCCACTTCCTCCCAGACTTGAGCCAGACATGTCTAACAGACACTATGTGTGGGACCTTGGTGACTTCTACAGTAGTGGTAGTATAAAAAGACACTGTGGCAAGTTTGTTACTTTAGTGTTATCAGAGAGGCTCTTCAAAGTATGTGATCGCAAAATGCCCTTGTTTTCTTCCAGCTGACTATCTGTTGTGAGAAGCACTCCTTCAGGATTGTGGCCAATGGGATGCAGGCGCACAACTATGTGCATCGTTTCACTCCCCTCCAACACATCAGCACCCTGGATATCGAAGGAGACATCAGCCTGACCTCTGTGATGGTGTAGACATCCAGGACCTGTGGCTGGTCTTGATAATCTTATACACAACATGCTTTATCTGACAAAAAACATTGCATTTATTAATGAATCCATGCTAATTCTGTATACCATATATTTTTCTCCTGTTTATCCATACTTCAAATAGTCATTCTAATTTCTATATTATTATATGCTATACTCCTGAAACATTAAAGGGGAAATTCACCAACAATTATCAGGTTGAGTTAAAAAAATGAAGCTCATTGTGGTTGAATTCGGTAGTCTGGGGTTTGTCCATATGCATTCTGTGTAATGTAGGCAGATAGTCTCTGAGGTGATGGAGACAGGGCAAGTTGAGAAATAAAAATAGCCGCAGCAAAACTGACAACGCACACTTGATGCAGCTGACAACAGGAACATGTACAACAGTGGATTAGTCAGCAGCTTGATTTTTCAAAAGTAAAAGTCTCTAAAAAAGGAATAGTGATGGAAATAACATTGCCTCTTGATAGTGTAATCATTCATGTTTTTTAAACATTGGAATTAAAGTATAGTGTGACAACATGTGTTGTGGTGTGATTAATTCTGGTCTGACTGAACTTGATAAGATAAAAGGGAAGAAAATGAACAATTCCACTAGTGTAGATAACATGTTAAACAATCTATAAATCCCTCATGATGCACTATAACTACACTAGAAATGAATATATTTTCATTTATTTTTTTGATCTGTGGTCTGCAAATTGACCACAGCCTGTGAGAATGTGTGCAATGTAATCTTGTTTTGTCAGATTATCTATTAACTCTATTAGAGGCTGTTGGGACAGTTTACGGTTATGTATAAACAAGACTCTGAGGCACAGCACGGCTAGTTTACTGTGGTTATGGTAGCATGCTAAGGTTTGCTCACTGGAACTAAAGGGTTATGGGAATGTCTTTAGTTTTGCAGGTATTTTTTCATAAACCAAAGCATTGGACCAATTTAAGTTTTGACCTGATGATGGCACAAGAGGAAAGGTTAAGGGATCACAAAGTAATTACAATTCAACATAAAATGTGTGTACCAAATGCTATGTTGCTCCAAGCCACAAATGCTGGATGTAAAGTGCTAGAGGGGAAGTCAGGGGGTCACCAAAGTCATTGGGGTACAACATCTGAGAACCACGACTGTATCCAAAATTTTGTGCCAACCAATCTGGGAGACTTTGAGAAGTCTGAAACGCTTCATATTGGAAAAATATAGCTCCAGTAAAATTCAGGGGATTCAATATATTTTTTTCAAATCAATTTATTTTTGCAGGCTTTACAATCTACATGTGACACCCTCAGCACCCTCACATCGGAACAGGAAATACTCCCCCAAAAAACCCTTTTACGGGGAGAAAAGAGGAAGAAACCTTAGTGAGAGCAACAGAGGAGGATCCTCTATCAGGATGGACAGAAGTGTGATAGATGTCATGTGTACAGAATGAACAACTTAACAGAGTTACAACACATTCAATGCATATGACAGAACACAAAACCTGCGAGGCGAGAAAGCACAAAGACTCCGGTGAAGAAGCAAAGTCAGTAATGTGCGTTCATGGTATCAGTAATAGAAATAGTAATGTGAGTAATAATAAAAATGATATTAGCAATGGGTGTAACGTATGCCGGTTTTAATTTCCCGAGTATGATATGAATTTTTCACACACCGTCATACCGGTGCATAGCCAGAACAACTGCTGTAACTCTTCAACAGGCAGCTAAATATATTGTTCGCCTATATGAGCGCTACAGTCGGAGCTAGTTGTCTTAACTGTATTGAGAGGGACCCCTAATCATGGTTATAACACAACAATTAATAACCCACAACTAACGCTCTTTAACAGGGCAAAACACCACGACACAACTAACGGATGTATACGACTTTCACTCTGAGAACAGAATAAACACCCCTCCTCCAGCTCAGGATCAAGGTGCTGTATCTGTTCGTAGCTATTGCCCCGTGTACAACGTCACGAGGTCAACGAGCTACGTGAAGCAGAATTCATAAGGATTTAGGAAAGTATTAAAGGAATTCAAAAAAGGTAACTAGGCCACCAGTCACCAGGGTTTATCTGATCAATATTGAGTTAATTGTTTGAGTTATGGAGAAGAGGTATATGTGTAATTCTCCCTACTCATTTTCAGATGTGCAATATTTATTCATGTTAATAATTCATGTTGTTTATAGAGAACTGGTTGATTGACAGTTTACTATATTTACTGTTCTTTTCAAGTGTTATTCTTTTTTTTTTTTTTACTTATTTGTTCCATGTTCTGAGTAAATAAATACAAAACAATGAAACAAAATGGTTGTCACTGTCTATTCGTATTTATTCACATGATTCCCATATAACTGTATGAAAATATTTGTTACATTTTTGCAAGATAGACGTATCGTTTTGTTTTCGTGGACGGCAGAATGTTGCGTCACTTTATCCTATGCTAAAGGAGCTAAGGAAAGGAAGCATCGAAGCACCTTTCCTGAGCATTTAGAGAATTCATGGCTGCTTTTCCCTCACTTATGAACCTTCCTCAGCAGCGGAGCTGTGTCGAGCCAGTTATAGCAGTCATTTTATAATTATCTTGAGCACGTATAACAATGAACTTGTCCTATTCCCACAATAACTGGTGGCCACCAGACAGTGGTGGGCCGTCAGGGCCAGCAAGGCCTTCTCTGCTGGCCTAAACAGAATCACAAAGTTATAGCTATTTTATAATTTAATATTTTTTCTAAAATACACTACATGTATTATAATTTATAAAAATATTTTTCCCATTATCTTATTTTCTCATTGCACAGCTACTGTCTTCCTCAGTTGTTCTGCTTCCAGTGCAGCTTGTTTTAAGTAGAGCTTTTATCCAATCAGATTTCACCTCTGTGTCTCTAGGTAAGAAGAGAGGCCAGAGGCCTGCAGACTCACAAGTGCTTCCATGTGCAGTTTAAGTGAATGGGGACGATATTGTTGATTGTCATCGTGTTCAACCAATCAGATCTTTAGTTTGACATGTTGGGCGTATTCTTTGACGTGCCAGAGCCTGCTAGCCGGCCACTCTGCCGCGAGGTGCAGAGTGTGCTGTGATTGGTCAGTAGGCGAGCACGTGACTATCGTGAAACGAAACTTAACAGCAGAGGCTGTCAGGTGGTGAATCACATCACGTGATGCAGCTCAGCCAATCAAATATGGGCATTCTGATTGAGTGAGATGTACCACACACCATGACGAGGAAAGACATTGCAGAGCAGTACGTTCAACGTTCAAGTTGTGAAAGTAAAATCCTATAATAATCTCTGTGGGTTGTGGCTTGTCATTAAGGAGTGATTGCAGATCCTACAGCCAGACCAGCTGAGAACATTATATTTTCCTGAATTTAGGCTTTTGCATTTTCTAAATGCCCCAAACGTACCCCAAAAACTGAGCAAAGTTTCTCCATTCACTTGAATGGGGTTGCGGCGTGAAGAGAGCTAAAAAAGCACTTAACTTTGGGCCCATATTGACGAGCCGTACATTAACGTAGAAACATGATTCAAAGTTTAAAACGTAGACAAAACGCTGCACTTTATTGAGCCAAAGGGACATTTTGATAGCTAGCACAGTTTTCATGAAGTCACAGATTAAGTTTCACAAAATTTTGGGTCTGTTTCAGATTTTATAATGGGTGTGTATTGCACAGCTCGTTAAGAGCTAGAGTGAGGGCATAACTGTCAGAGTGGAGCGGAGCTTGAAAATATTCTGTGATTTTTCCAAACAAATTGCTCCAGCTCCCACAATGTTTACTCTTTATACACCATTTTGGCCAAAAAGCTTGGAAATGTTGTGCTGGTCGCAGTAAAGTGTCTATGGAATCCAACGGACTTACACATTTGGCTCAAAGAGCCGCAGAGCGACATGAACTCCAACCAACTGCTCCATTAGACTCCATGTTAAATCTCACCACTAATTTCTCAAAGAAAGCAGACGGTATCAGTTTTGTCTATTGCTCTGGAGCTCACATTTTTAACACCACAAACATAAAAACACATCAGCGCGTTTGCCAGAGTCTTATCTTTCTCACGGTATCCATATTTTGGCACTCAGACTCCTGCTAATTTGTTAAAAGGAGGCAGGGGTTTTGTTCAAAATCACTGATTACTGCAACGTTTCTTAATCAGTCTGCCTCAGTTACTACATGCACGCAGTCTCGCTCTCTCTCTCTCTCTCTCTCTCTCTCTCATACAGTCATTCAGGTTTTAGATATATTTAGAGAATCCCCCCTCCCCCTCCCATTTCAAAATAAAAGCTCTAGAGAGTGAATTCTAACTGGAATGCTTGCGATGAAGCCTGTCATTTAATAACCTCTGTGTTTGTGTGTCAAACATTATGAATATGTCTCCTCTCCCCCACCCAGTCCCACCCTTTCAAAATAAAAGCCCCATAGAGTAACTGTATCTTAACATGAAGCTCAGAATGAGGTTTGTACAGAAAACATGGGAGCGTTAGCTCCCATCATTTCCAAAGGCTTCTCAAACAAAGATGTACATGTCCAGTACAGAAATGACGGGAGCCATTAGTGGACTGTCCATCACGAATATAAGATTCAATCCAAGAGTATGAATCTAAAATGCAGAAAAGAGAGAAGCGATATCTCAATCGAACCTCAACGATACTACCGGTAACATCAGCGTGTGTAACTATATATTGCGACGTCTTCGGGCAGTAGAAGCCACACTGTCAAAATTTATTTTGCGAAATTTTCAAGTTATTATTGTAACTGACTGTCTCATGTTTATCGTTTTGTATTGGAGATATGATGTCCCTTCAGGGTTGCCGTAGAGAAAAGGCGACTTCCGCTTCTGGTCGAGGGGGGGGCAGAAATAAAGAGAGAAGCTGCACCAGCTGTTGCTCTCCCTGGAGACTACTGGACATCGCTGTGGTAAAGTCAGCAGACACTCTCAGATCTCCATGGTCAACTCAGCAGACACTTACATTTTAGTGCACCTATATGCTGAAATTTACGGTAAATGCATTTAAATGCCACAGATCGGGAGCGAGCGAAGGACTTTGAAAGTTAGCGGAAACATTAACATGACACAACATCCGGTTTATTCAGACGAACATCCGGTTTTCAGAATAAGATGCCAACAAAGTATGAATTATATTCACATTAAGTATAAAACATGCTACCTGCATCTCGTGAACCAAATGTTATTGCACTTTTGTTCATATAGCAGTACTTTTAAAATAAAAGTGCACAATACACTACTTTTGAATTCATTATTGAACTTTGCCATAACAATGCGATTAATCGCAAAAAATCCATGCGATTAATTGCGATTAAATATTTTAATCGTTGCCCAGCACTTATATATATATATATACTATATATATAGTTGTATGTATTTTCCGCATTGCACTTTGTAGACGGTCCCTGCGTACTCGTCTCACAGCCTGCGGCACCAATGCTCTTCGTCCAGCTCGTAGCTCGGAGGACGGCCCGTTTTGATTAAATTAAGGTTGTAGCTTGTTGTCTACCTCACTACGGTCACAGAGAGGTATCGTTT